CTCGATCCCAGGACCCTGGGATCATGACCTGAGCCGAAGGCAGTCGCTTAACCAACTGAGCCACCCAGGCGCCCCCAGATTCATTTTTTAAAATAAATATAGGTTACTCAGATTTTCTACTTCTTGTGTTGGTTTTGGTAAATTTGTCTTTCTAGGAATTTGTCCATTGTGTAAACATTTTCAAATGTATTTACAGGCCTAACAATTGTTCATAACCAATTTTATCTCTTGCTTAACAACACTAACTCATTCCAGAACTCCCTACTATGTGGAAAGCTGTTTGATTTTTAAAATTTGTTCCAATAATTTTAATGGGAAAAATTATCATGCAACCCATCCCAACCCAAAAGTGTATTAGTTTGCTGGGCTGCCATAACAAAATACTATTGACTGGGTGTCTTAAACAAGAGATTTATTTTCTCACAATTCTGGAGTCTAGAAGTCTGAGATTAATGTGCCGGCAGTACTGATTTCTTCTGAGACCTCTCTCCTTGTATCTTCACATGGTTTTCCCCTCTGTCTCTGTGTCCTAATCTCTCTCTTTTTTTTTAAAGATTTTATTTATTTACTTGACAGAGAGAGACACAGCGAGAGAGGGAACACAAGCAGGAGGAGTGGAAGTGGGAGAAGCAGGCTTCCCACCGAGCAGGGAGCCCGATGCGGGGCTCGATCCCAGGACCCCGGGATCATGACCCGAGCCGAAGGCAGATGCTTAACGACTGAGCCACCCAGGCGCCCCCTAATCTCTTTTTATAAGGACATCAATTCTCCTGTTTTCTGTATACTATTTGTCCCCATTTTCAGCAGTGTCAAATCCTTCTTATGCTCTAGCCTTTTAGGAGCTCTAGGGCACAGATTAGCTGCTTTCTGGGATTCCCCCATGCCAGAGTCACTCTACTGATGGATTCTGAGTTTTTTCCCTAATTTTTTGCTTCATAAATAATGCCAAATATCCTCTTATAGACATATTTGAATCCACTAAGTATAACTATACATAAATTCTTAGAAGTAAAAACGCTAGGCCAAAATATATACACATTTTAAGTTCTCTGCTTTACAAAGAAGTTTTTCATATTTATATTCTTATTTATAGGCTAGAACAGAGTTTAACAACTTTTTCTGCAAAAGGCCAGAAAGTAAAATCTTTTATACTTCTAGGACCTACAGTCACTGTCGAAACTACTCAACTGGGTCACCTGGGTGGCTCAGTCAGTTAAGTGGCTGCCTTTGGCTCAGGTCATGATCCCAGGGTCCTGGGATCGAGCCCCACGTTGGGCTCCCTACTCAGTGGAGAGAGCCTGCTTCTCCCTCTCCCTTTGTCTGCCACTCTGCCTACTTGTGCTCTCTCTCTGCCAAATAAATAAATAACACCTAAAAAAAAAAAAAAAAAAGGAAAAAGAAAAAGAAACTACTCAACCTTTCTATTATAGCATGGAAAGCAACCGAAGACAGTATGTAACTGAATAGGTATGGGTGTGTTCCAATAAAACTTTATGCATAAAAACAGGCAGTGGTCTGGATTTGGCTAATGGGTAGCAAGTTGCTGATTAGCAGGCTAGAGAATGCTTAAATCCCCATATTCCCATCAATACTGTGTATTTATCAAATTTTTTATATTTGCTAATCAGATGGATGAAAATAATGCACTCATTTGTCTTTTAATTTCCACAGTTTTAATTATAAGAATAAAATTTTCTTGTTTATTGGACATCTTTTTCTTTACCTGTGAAGAGTCTATTTATACCTGTTGCCTATGTTTATTTTTTTAAAAGATTTTATTTATTTATCTGACAGAGAGAGAGAAAGCAAGCACAAGCAGCGGGGAGCGGCAAGCAGATGGAGAGGGAGAGGGAGAAGCAGGCTCCCCATGGAGCAGGGAGCCCGACGCGGGGCTCGATCCCAGGACTCCAGGATCATGACCTGAGCCGAAGGCAGATGCTTAACCAGCTGAGCCACCCAGGAGCCCCTGTTGCCTATGGTTATTAACAGCACTTTCTATTAAAGAATATAGTCCTTTGGGGCGCCTGAGTGGCTCAGTTAAGCATCTGACTCTTGGATTCAGCTGAGGTCAGGATCTCAGGTTGCCCCTATATAAATGATTTTTAATGTATTCATTATAGTTATCTCTAGAGAGAGAGAGAGAGAGTGTGTGTGTGTGTGTGTGTATGTGTGTGTGTGTGTGTAAAACCTTTAACACAGGGTGCCTGGGTGGCTCAGTCAGCTAAGTGTCTGCCTTTGGCTCAGGTCATGATGCCAGGGTCCTGGGATGGAGCCCTGCGTGGGGCTCCCCGTTCAGCAGGTTAAGCATCTGCCTTCGGCTCAGGTCATGATCCTGGAGTCCTGGGATCAAGCCCCGCGTCGGGCTCCCTGCTCCATGGGGAGCCTACTTCTCCCTCTCCCTCTCCATCTGCTTTGACACTGCTTTTCCCTCTCCTTCTGCCCACCCACATGCTCTCTCTTGTGCCTGCTATCTCTCGCAAATAAATAAAATCTTTAAAAAATAAAAATAAAGTTGTAAGCATGATAAGCAGAGAAAATTATTTTCATATGGTAGCTATAACTGAAGTAAAACTTAAGCTTAAGTACATAAATATTTGACAAAATCTGCTTGTTTCTAGAATGGAGGGGTATTTGCAGATTTACCATGGTCCTTAAATAAGGTTTAACATCCTTGTTAAGATTAAGAGAATCTAAGAAGACATAATGTTTCCCAAAACAACAGAAAAAGCATCCTGAATCTGCCATATATATAAAGCACATATGGTGAGTTACGGAAAATCCATACTTACATGATTGCAGTCTGAAGAAATCTCATTTTCAGGCTAAAAGGAAAAAAAAAGAGATGATGTTAAAAACCCTCAAGTTTTCAAATACTACCAAAATAAACTCCAAACAAGAAATCTGAATATTTAACTGAGTATGTTTCTTCAATTTAAGAAATAAAATGGGGCTTATATATATTTTAAGTTGCCAGGGAGAAATATACCAGAAAAGCAGATGAGACATAATCACTTCCCAATCAATGGTACAATCTGAAAATGAGGAAAATGGAGAAGGAAGTACTAAAGAAACAAAGCAATAGTGACATCAGGATCCTTACAGGACACTTCATAATTCTGAAAGCTAAAGAGGATCAGGCATATGATAGGTGTCCTTTCTTTAAAGAAAGTTAGATATCTAAAACAAAAACAAAAACACCCAAAAAAACAAAAAAACCCAGGCTTTTAAAGAGGGCAAAGAAGGTTTATCAATGATTTCAAAACTAATCTCGGGGCGCCTCAGTGGCGCAGTCGGTCAAGTGACCAACTCTTAATTTCAGCTCAGGTGCTTATCTCAGTGTTTTGAGATCGAACCCCACAGGGCTCAGTGCTGAGGATAGACTTTGCTTGAGATTCTCTCTCCTTTTCGCTCTGCCCCTCCTGCTTACGCTCTCTCTCTCTCAAATACATACATACATACATACTAATCTCATGTCACCACTAGGCAAAGCTAGGTGATGGGTACACAGGACCTCAATGTAACTTCTTAGGAGTCTATAATCTTTCAAGTATATAATTTAAAATAGAAAGTTTTTTTAGGGGCGCCTGGGTGGCTCAGATGGTTAAGCATCTGCCTTCGGCTCAGGTCATGATCCCTGGGTCCTGGAATGGAGCCCCACGTCCAGCTCCTGGCTCAGCGGGGAGGCTGCTTTTCCCTCTCCCTCTCCCTCTGCCTCTCCTCCTGCTCATGCCCTCTCGCTGTATCTGTGTCTCGAATGATAAATAAAATCTTTAAAAAAAAAAAAAAAGCCTATTGTTTCCCCCCAGTGAATTATCTTGTCATCCTTGCTGAAAATCAGTTCACCATAAATGAATGTATCTCTTTCTGAACTCTCAATCTACTCCCCTGATCTATATGTCTATCCTTATGCAAGTACCAACAGTCTTGATTACTGTGGCTATATAGTAAATTTTGAAATCAGGCATTATGAATGCTCCAACTTTGTTCTTTTTTCAAGACTGTTTTGGCTATTCTGGATCCCCTGTATTTTCGTATGAATTTTAGGGTCAGCATGTCAATTTCTGCAAAGTTGTCAGCAGAAATTTTGACAGGAATTGCACTGAATCTAGATCAATTTGGAGAGTATTACCATCTTAACAAAATTAAGTTTTCCAATCCATGAATCCATGAAATAGGATGTCTTTTCCTTTATTTAAGTCATCTTTAATTTTGTTCAAAGATGTTTTCCATAGAGTTCGGTTTATAAGTCTTATACTTCTTTTGTTACATTTATTCCTAAGTATTTGATTCTTCTTGATGCTATTGTAAATAAAGTTGTTTTAATTTCATTTTCAGATCATTCACTGCTGGTCAGTAGGAATACAACTGATTTTTTTTTTTTTAAGATGTTTTATTTATTTATTTGACAGAGAGAGACACAGAGAGAGAGGGAACACAAGCAGGAGGAGTGGGAGAGGGAGAAGAAGGCTTCCCGCTGAGCAGGGAGCCCGATGCGGGGCTCGATCCCAGGAACCCGGGATCATGACCTGAGTCAAAGGCAGATGCTTAACGACTGAGCCACCCAGGCGCCCCTACAACTGATTTTTTAATCTACTAATCTTATATCCTGCAGCCTTCCGTCTAATTACTAATGTTAGAAAATTTCCCATAATAAAAACTTAAAAAACTAGTATTGAATTTAGTCAAATGATTTTTAATGTACCTACTGAGATGATGACATAACTTTTTCTCCTTTATTGTGATTAACTTTTCAAATGTTAAATTAACCTCACAATTCTGCACTAAATCCAATGCAGTCCTGATGTATTTCCCTACTTGTATTTTAGTGGATTCAGTTTGTTACTAACTTGGTTAACATTTTTTCATCTATGATTCACAAGTGACACTGGCCTATGTTTTCTTTCTTGTTATATCCTTTTTAGGTGACAGTAAGGTTATGTTAGCCTCATAATGAACAGAAAAATATTTCCACTTTTTTTTTTTTATTCTTTAAAAGACTGGGGGCGCCTGGGTGGTTCAGCTGGTTAAGCAACTGCCTTTGGCTCAGGTCATGATCCTGGACTCCTGGGATCAAGTCCTGCATTGGGCTCCTGGCTTAGTGGGGAACCTGCTTCTCCCTCTGACCCTCTCCCCTCTCATGCTGTTTCTCTCTCAAATAAATAAATAAATAACATCTTTAAAGACTGATACAGGGGCTCCTGGGTGGCTCAGTTGGTTAAGTGTCTATCTTCAGGTCAGGTCCTGGATCGAGCCCCACACTGGGCTCCCTGCTCAGTGGGGAGCCTGCTTCTCCCTCTGCTGCCCCCTGCTTGTGCACAAGCTCTTTGTCTCTAATAAATAAATAAAATCCTTAAAAATAATAAATAAATAAAATAAAAGACTGGTGACGGGGTGCCTGGGTGGCTCAGTGGTTGGGCGTCTGATTTCAGCTCTGGGTCATGATCTCAGGGTTCTGGAATCTGGCATCGTGCTCCCCACTGAGCTGGGAGTCTGCTTGTCCCTCTCCCTCTGCCCCTCCCCCTTTGCATGTTCTCACTCTCTCTCAAATAAATAAAATCTTTAATAAGTAAGTAAATAAAAGACTGGTGGTGTTTTTTCCTTACACCAATAAATCCATCTGGTCCTGAAGTTTTCTTTATGGCATTTTTATTTACAGATTCATTTTTTAAAATTATTTTTTAAGGGGCACCTGGGTGGCTCAGTCGGTTGAACGGCTGCCTTTGGCTCCATGTCATGATTCTGGAGTTCTAGGATCAAGCCCCGCATCAGGCTCCCTGCTCAGCGGGGAGTCTGCTTCTCCCTCTGTCCTTCACCCTGCTCGTGCTCTCTCACCCCACTTATGCTCTCTGGCTCTCGCTCTCTCAAATAAATAAATAAAACTTAAAAAATATATAT